CAATGAATTACTACTCAAATTTGATAAATAGATAATTACCCTATACACTAATTCCCTGTTTGGTAGAAATTAATTTAAGTCGAATTCAACAGTTAAGCTTATGTTTGATCCCCATTTTCTCAAAAAAATTATTTATTAATTTTCAACTACATATTCTTTTATAAAATAATATTACAAGTAAATCGAAAACTTTTTCTTATTTTTTTAACCAAATCACCATTTCAAGAAAATTATATTTTAATGGAGCCCAAACATGGGCTAATTTTAACTACTCATTTCACGGAATCCAAATTTTTCAACCACATATTTCATCAACATTTATTGAAACTCACTAAAAATCTGATTTTAATCTTCACAAAATAGACGTTAATATATGTTTTCAAATTCAATTATATATTTTTATTCAACAAATACTTCATTTATTTTTTTAAAACGCACACAAACGAATGCACAAGCACATAAACGCACCAACAAACCATTGTCGACGAACTTACCACAACCATGCACCACCCTCATCGGTACCACCATCACCACCACCTCTTCCTCCTACACACGCTACCTCTACCTACTTCAAACTCATGAAGCCGCCGCCACCCCAAGGATAAGACACAAGCACTACTACTGTGAATTTATAAACCAACACCAATTCCAAATCTAGAATCAAACTATGGAGTGAATGGCTCGACTTATTCGAGCTTAGATGCTTGAATTGAAGCCATAGAGATTTGGATCCACTTCGCAAATGACTTCTTAGGAGTTTAGATTAGCAACTTGTGAATCCACAGAGTTGGAAGTGGTTCGACATGACGGCGACGCTCTAATGAGATAGCTACTTTTACTAATTTTAAATCTCATATGTTGATAATTGATGAAGCGGAAGATTATAGGAAAGACAAAAAATCGACACGAAGAATTTCAACAAAGAGAAATTCAAGAAAACTTTATTTCATTTAAAATTGGGTTTACAACATTTAAATAGCGAAAAACCTAAACAAATTCGGAAAAATTACATAATAATGAGANTTCAAAATTGGGTTGCCTCAAAGGACTTACAACGTTTAAATAGCGAAAAACCTAAGAAAATTCTGAAAAAATACATAATAATGAGAAAATATTATTTTTTTCAAAGAATGGAAAAAATTGAGATAATGACGGATCTTAATTCTCCTAATCACTAGGATTATCCCCCAACAAACGAAAATCAAATTTGAGTTTATTTTACTAAGATATTGCCAAAATAAAAATTACCATAAACGACAAAAATATTTAATTGAAGGTCTAACCGACGGAATCTGCCCAAAATTCGACGTGCATTGTGATCATTGTCCCATTTTCAATCTAATTAGACTTGCAATTTACCAAAAATGGACATACCCGAAGTTAAATGAAATTATTATTTTGTCTTCATGAATAATATATATATAAAAATAAAAATTGATTAATCGATTTTTATCAATGAAGCCACTTTGATTTTGGATGAAAACATATAAATTTGTACTTCTGTATATGTGGATGTGTGTTAATTGCGGTAATGATTTATGGTGAGGCGTGATGGTTTATGGTGGAGGTTGACGGTGTTCTAGTGTTGATGGATATAATATGGTATGACACAAGAGGTCGTGACGATAGATTTGGCGTAATAATGAATGTTACAAATGATAGAGGCGGAAGGACGACGATCGAACATTGAAGTGGCGACGATGGATGAATATGCGACAAAATCCGTTTAACATAATTTGTTGCCAGTGGTGATGCCAATGAAAACATATGATAAAACATATGTAACAAAATATATCACTCTAAAATATTGTGTTACAGAATGAGGAATAATGAAAATGCTGTAACTGTTTTCTTGCTTTTATACGTGGATGCTGTCATTTGGCCAAAACATTTATGATATAAATGAAATAAAGATATTTTTAATGCTAAATTTGAAATGAAAGATTTAGGTCATGCAAAAAGAATTCTTAGGATGGACATCATTAGGAAAATACCTAATACGTTATTAATCTTGAAACGAACTGCTTATGTGTAAAAAGTCTCGCCAAAATTTGCTATACATGACTCCAAATCTGCTTAACTACCTATTGCAAGCCATTTCAAATTAAGTAAGGATCAATGTCCTGAAGATGAATCTAATATTAGGTATATG